ATCCACCCTTTGAACATTCGGGCCCAGGCCCGATCGTTTCGTTTAGTTTTCAAGAATTTTTATTTTTATTTTTTGGAAAATCCTCAACAAGGCTCTTCTTCTCAGAACGTGTAATAATACTTGTAAACTTTGGTCGGAAAACTGAATATGACAGCTCGTCAAAAATCTCGTGAAAGGCTCACAAGAATTAACCTGAATTAGTAAATTAATCCCGCTATTTAAAGGAGAAATGTTATTCGTTTCCTTTCTTTTCCGTGGCTGAATGCAGTATTACTGTGAAACCATGGTTTTTACAAATATTCTATCTAACTTTGAATTTTTAGGACTGAAGGTGCTCATGGTTTGCTGCGAGGATCGTCTGGCGACTGAATGGTACAGGATATATCAGGCTATGGAAACTATTGTGGCGGGGCAGATAAGTAAGAATTCGCATCATATCTGAAACTTTTGATAACAAACAAACTTTGATCCTCCAGATTTTTTAAAAAAAAAAATTAGTCCTTGCGCTCTCCTTAAAGTTCTCTCATTGGATTGCTCTCCACAGAAAGAGATTTCTGGGGTATACCGTATTACCTCATCTTTCTCCTCCTGAGCCCGTAGTCTTTCCAGAAATGGACGCCTCCCTGAAAAAAAAATCTATATTGTTTGATATAGATTGTTGATATTTCTTATTGATATTGCTTTGCTTTCTCTTGGGAGGTCAGGGGAGGGTGTGCAAAGGAGTGTGGGCGCTTATTCGGGGAAATAAATGATTCACAAGATTACCTTTACGTAATTTAAAGAGATATGGTTTTCTCCACTCGGGAATTTACTTGTAAATTTAGCCACTTGGTCTGCCTAGCTTCGCACGACGTGGGCGGTATTTTAGCTTCGTGTAACTTGCTGAGCCTGCACGCCGCTTAACGGAAGTCCTTCTTTTTTGTTTTTAGCTAATGTAGGTTTTTGGGACTTCATGAATTTCTGTGTGTCATACCGGACTCCACTCTTCTTGTTGATTTGCCCGCTCATTAGAACAAAGGTTTGTATGTTTGGTTATTAATGAGAGTTTCATATCCGAGTCCTTATTGATGGTCGTACATAGAAGTCAGTACGATGTAAATTGGATTTTGTGCTATTTACTTCTTACTGGCCCCATACTCCCGGAGGTTTATCATCACTTGCTCATCTGACTCATCGTCTTTTACATATATGTGCTATAGGTCTCTCATCTCCGTCCCAAAAACAAAACTGAACGTGTTCTTAAACAGAGAGTGCTGACCAAGATATCACGGCCACCTCTGGTCGTGAGCTCCCGTAATGCTCTCATCACCCGCTTCCTTGAGGAACTGTCCTTCATCAAACAGAAGCGCCCAGCGGCAGGCTTTCAAGATATCGAGGAAGGCGAAGAAGAAGACGTGCAGAAGGAAGAGAAGAAGCCGCTGGTGCTGCAGGCTCCCCCTCTAGGCAGAGAGCGCTCCTCTAGCGCGCCGCAGGAACCAGCAACTGATTCTAAGGACGCGAAACGCCCGCCACCAATTACACGCTCTGTCAGTTTGAAAGCTAAAAAGACTGTCTCATTTTCACCAGCCCCAAGCTTTGATGATGATCGAGGATCTTCGGCTTCATCTCTTGGCGATGTTCGCAGCGGGAAAGAAAAGAGGAAAAAGTGGCTTCTACGTAAACAGGAAACAGTTGAAGAGCAAGACAGTCACAATGACAAGGATCTCGTGGATACTAAGACAGGCCAGGACCCTTTTGCACACCAACGGGGTGCCACAGTAAGGCCTGGAAAAGTGTCCACAGGAAGAGGGCCCCGAAGGCGCTTTGAAAAAATGCGGGCTGTGACATCAGAAAGGAAAACATCAAACCCGTCAGCTGAGGTGGAGACTAAAATCGAGAGCCCGACCAGCGGAATTGTGGAGAGTCAAGGCGAGAGATTTGAAATGAAGTTTTTCGAGACAGATATTTTGGTAACTGACCCTAACATAGGGGAAGCCCCAGAAAGCAAAGGCTTACGTGCCTCGCTCACGCCCCCAATTGCGAAACCCGAATCTGTGACTATTTCGCTGTCTCCTGACAGTTCACCTTCCAGACGGTCGCCGGCCAGTGAAATGGAGGATACATATCCAGACATCTTGGAGTCCTTAAAGCCATTGCCTCCCATTCCCCCTGTAAAATTCACCTCACAATCGGATGTGAAGCACGACTCCGAGAACGCAAGGAATGGAACGATTGCGCCCGAAAGCAACCTTGCAGCTGATTACGACGTAGAGCGTGCGCAGCGGCTGAACAAGAATCGATGGTGGCACAAAGTTTCTTCCAATGTTGAAATAATCTCCACTGATGAAGACAGTCAACGTTTACAAAGATATGAAATATCGCTATCAGAAGCATCGGAAGTGCAAAGAGAGACGAACGTGTAACTAGTTATTAAATGTAAAAATAACAGGCCATGCTCGATTTCCTTGTTGTTGAATGTAACTTAAAGTGCACCTAAACCCAAAAAATTTTTTTCGCTTAACGAAGTAAGCTTACTTTTTTGAGTATTTCTGCGCAAAAATTTTTTTACTTGCTCAAAT